ACCCCGAAGCTTTCCTTATTTAGATAAGTTCGCAGGCAGAGGGCATTCATTTCCACACACACGGAGAGAATGCATTTCCTTTCCACCTATTTAGACTCTTAATAGCTACCAGTGTTATGTAAAGAAACGCCTTCGCCTCCATTCAGAAGAACAATGTGGTTTGAAAGAGAAAGGACTAATTCCTGCAGAATGAAAATGAAAACGAGAACGTTTTGCCAGAAAATCAAAACACCAAGTCAGCAAAAAAAAAAAAAAAAAAAAAAGATTTCTTCTCCACCCCCCACCCCCCCACTAGGGATCCAGTTATTTTGCTGTTTTGCTGTAGATAAGCCCTTCGGTCGGTATGCACGCCCAGCCCTACACCCCTCATGAATTGGTTTATGCAAATGAGTTTCTAATGGATGGGGTTCCCCCATGACTTCATTTTGCTGTTAATAATTTTCTTGATAAGACAGATTTTTTTTTTTTTTGTCTTTGGAAATTTTTCTTTGTGACCTAAAAAGCCTGGTGTATCTTGGCGGGAAAAGGAACTTGTGAAGGATTGCTGTGAGACGTGGGGAAAGGAAACGTCTGGCCCCTAATCAAGAAGGTATGTTCTCCACAGCGCAGCTCTAACGCTCGCTTTGTGGCCGCCAACCGGGATTGGGGCCACACCCAGTGGTGCTCAGGGTTTACTCCTGGCAGTGCTCAGGGGATCCAGTGGGGTGTTGGGGGTTGAACTGGGGTCAACTAAGAGCAAGGTAAAGTGCCTTCACCTCTGGACTCTCATTCGGATATGGCTTCACCAGTTTCTTTTCTAACATTAGAGAAATGCGCACCTTTTTCATACACACTGAGGAGTTGGGAATCCAGGAAGCTCAAAAAAAAAAAGAAAAATCCAGGTCTGGAGCAATAGCACAGCGGGTAGGGCGTTTGCCTTGCAACGAGGCCAACCCGGGTTCGATTCCCAGCATCTCATAGGGTCCTCCCCCGAGCACCGGCCAGGAGTAATTCCTCAGTGCAGAGCCAGGAGGAACCCTGAGCATTGCTGAGTGTGACCCAAGAAGCAAAATAAATAAATAAATAAATAAATAAATAAATAAATAAATAAATAAATTTCCAGAGGGGAAGGGCAAGCCTGAGACTGGTCTCCATGCCTGCCATCGTCCCCAACCCCTTCCCAATTCCCTAAACACCTTTATGGGTGGAATGTAACTGTGGTAGTCTTGGTCCCACTTCATTTCTAAGGGTGGGGGCTGTAACGCGTCGGAGCCCCTTATCCCAGAATGACAGGCTTTCTCTTGAGCCACTTCTTGCTCATTCTCCCATGACAACACATGAGGAAGATTCCCAGACCGGAATGTCAGACAATCTGGAAATCCTCTCTGGATCCTTACTACTTTTTTTTTTTTTCCTTCGCCGGTGCAAGGCAATTCAGCTCAGGTTCCAGATACTCATTTTAATCCTCTGCAAAGCAGCTTCCCCACTTCGGTGACATGCCAAAAACCGAGGCTCCAATGACTCACGGGGTTCACCTACATCTCACCGCCCTCTCCACCCCCTTCCCCTTCCCCCCATCCTCTCGGCCAACATCTCTTTCAATTCATCTTGGGCCAAAACCTGTCAACGCATTCTGGCAACAGCCCCTGGGCACCTTCCCCCCCCCCCCCCCGCCCCTGGTGCCCTGGCGGTCCCAGGCAATTTGGCTGCCCTCATCCTGTCCTTCCCTCGCGGACTCGTCCGACTGGTTCCTAGAAGCCTGGCAGCCAACAGTTTCTCTGACATCCATCTGGCTCCCACAAATTAGGAGCCGGGAGTTCAAAACACACCTCTCCCAAGGCAAATCTAAAGGGATCTAATTTGCAAACAAAGAGAGCCCCATCTTCCTCTTCCCCCACCTCCCAGAAAAACAAATCCGCGCGCGCCGGCTTTGAAAGGACCCCGAGTGGACTGGCCAACCGCAGGAACGCAGGTTAGGATTAAAAAAAAAAAATAAAAGAAAAGCCCTCGAGGATTAAAAAAATAATAATAAAATAAAAATAAAATTAAATAAGGCACTGGACGACGATACCATCAAGGAGCGCATCCACCTGAGTGATTAAGCCCCGCGGCGCCTGCCAGCCCCTTTGGTAAAGGTTATCACGAGGGCGGTTATCTTTGTTCTGGGTACCCCGGTCACCCCGGGGAGGAGGTGGGGGGGGGGGGCTTGGCACGTAGTAGGTGCGGCCACAACTTCGGCCCGACGACCCCGACCCCAGGCTCGGAGCGGCCGCGGACCCACCCCCCCCCAGAGACACGAGAGGCGGGCGGGATTCCCCCAGCAGCGCCCCATTGTTCTGCGTCTCCCCCCCGCCCGAGCCCCTAAACCTCGGGAAGGCGACCGAAGGACCCCCCGCCCCCCATTCTTCCCCGATGCCTGAAATTCCAGACTCATGAGCCACGGAGGTAGGAGCCTCCCGGGAAACCCACGCGCCCCCCAACCCCACCCCCGCCCCTGCCCCCGCCGGGAGCCGTCGTCTGCGCCGCCTCCTTTTCCGCCTCGCTCGGGTCGGGGGGCTCGGGGCTGCCCCTCTGCCTCCTCGCCGGAGTTGGGGGGCTCCGGGCTGCCCCCCCGTGCGTCCTTCTCGGAGATGCGGGGGCTCGGGGCTGCTCCCCGCGCGTCCTTCTAGGAGTTGGGGGAGGCTCGGGGGTGCCCCCGTGCGTCCCCCCGCGCCTTTTTGTCGGAGTCGGGGGGGGGCTCTCGGGGCTCCCCCCATGCATCCTTGGCGGAGTCGGGGGGTCTCGGGGCTCCCCCCGTGCATCCTTGGCGGAGTCGGGGGGGTCTCGAGGCTCCCCCCCGTGCATCCTTGTCGGAGTCGGGGGGTTCGGAGCTGCTCCCCGCGCCTCCTCGGAGATGGGGGGCTCGGAGCTGCCTCCGCGAGTCTCCCCCGCCCCCCATGCGTGCCTGTCGGAGTTGGGGGGCTCCGGGCCGCCCCCCGCGCCTCTCCACTCCCGGGAGCCCGGCTCCTTTCTCTGGGGCCCGGGGGTCCCTTTGATCCTTTCTCTGTCTCGCCCCGACTCCCGGACGCCGCCGAGAAGCCCCCTCGGTGTTCCCCGGCGCCGCACGTCACTTCCCTCCGGGGGCGCCGAGATGCGCGCGGGGTTGGGGTCTGCGCGCCGGGCGGGGCGCGGGGGGACGCGGGCGCGAGCAAGGGAGGGGGGAGGGAGGACGGAAGGAAGGAGGGAAGGAGAAAAAGGGAGGGAAAAAAGGAAGGAAGGAGAGAAGGAAGGAAGGGAGGGCGGGAGGAAGGCGCGAGACGGGGATGGAGAGCGGCGGCGCCGCCGAGAAACCCACCGCGGGGCCCTGCGCGCCGGCCGCCGCGTCGCCATGGCAACGGGCGCCGGCAGGAAGCGGGGGCGGCGGCGGCGGGGGGCGGGGGCGGGCCGGGGGCGGGCCCGGCTGCCCCGGAAGCACCTCCCCGCGCCCCCCTCCTCGCGCCCGGCGCCGCCGCCGCCCCCGGCCGGCCGCCCCCAGCCCGCGGGCCCGGCAGGAAGTGACAGGCCCCGCGCCAGCCCCGCAGGCCCGGCCGAGCGGCGGGAGGGGCGGGGAGCGGCGGCCGCGCCGGGCGCCTCCCCCCCAGCCCGGCCCTGCAGGAGGCCCGAGCGCGCCCCCCGCCCCGCCTCGGCGGCCTGGGGGGGTGGGGGGGGCTGAGCCCGGGCTCGGGAGCTGCTGGACGCCGCCGGCCCGTCGGAGACGGGGGGCTGAGTCGGCGGGAGCGAAGGTAAAAGCGGATCGGGGAGAGGGGGTGGGGGGCGCCGGCGGGGAGGGGTGCGGAGATCCCCCCTCCCCACCCCCTCGGGGCGCCCGGGAGACCCTCCCGCACCGTCCCCCCGACGCTGCCCCGGCCCGGCCCGGCCCGGCCCGCGCGCTTCCCTCCCAGCCCCCGCGCGCTCGGCGCTGTCCGTGCGCCCCGGCCGGGCCCGCTCGGCTCCCCGGGGCTCATTCATTGATCGCCCCGTGCCCCGCCGGCTCCGAGCACGCTGCCCGGCCCGGGGACGCGTGTCCGTCCCGCCCGCCGCTGGCCCGGGTACCCCCCGCGCGCCTGGCAACCCGCGTCCCCGCACCCTGCCCTCCCCGACCCGGGAGAGTTGTTTTCCCCGTTCAACCTTGTCTTCCTTCCTTTCTTTCTTTCTCTCTTTCTCTCCCCCTTCCTCTTTCCCTCCATCAGGGACTCTAGGGACCCTTGGGCGCCCACTCTTTTCTCTTAATTCTCCGGCTTGCTTCCATCCTCCCGGGGCGACCGTTGCGGGAGGCTCCCCGCCAACCCCCTTTTCTCCCCAGGCACCCCAGCAGCAACTCGTTCTGCTCCGGGTTTCCTCCAACTCTTGGCTGGGCGCACCCCGCACCTGGCCCACTGTCCACGTCCCTCTCCCTCCCTTCTCTCCCCCCCTCCACTTTTTGGAGCTCCCTACCCCGGGGGTCTGGGCACCTTTCCATCCCAGCCCTCACGCGCACCCCCAAGGCTGCTCTCTCCTTCCAGGATGGAGAGCTACTTTTTTTGGGGGGGTGGGGGGAAGTGGAGAATGGACCCGGTGCTGGCTCCGCGTCCCCCACACCCCCTTTCTCCTCCACTTTTGATTCCGAACTCTGCCTTTGACTCGGCTCGGCGCCCCCAAACTTTTTTTGGATGTCTTTCGGTTTGCTGCACTCAATTTTACAGTCCCCGACCTGGTTCGCAAAGTGGTTTTTGATTTATGTGCCTGGGATGGGACAGGACGGGACGGGATGGAGTGGGGTGGGGGTGGGTGTGATGAGTGGGGGGGAGACAAACCCTGGTTTTGAAGACAGGGGTCCCCGATTTTATTGAAGACTGTATGGGGGTAGGGGGGCGGCTTTTCGTCTTTGTTCCCCTTTTACAATCCGCCGCCCCCAGAAGGGAAAGGGGTTTTGGAGGAGGGATTCCGTAGTAGTTGGCCCGGTTTGCAAACACTGAGTTTTAGCAAGCTGCGCTCCCCGGCTGCAGAAATTGGAGTATCCGAGGGGGGTCTGTGGATTTGTGAGTCCAGCGATCTGTACGGAACTGTGCCGAACTGCCTCTAATCCTTACCCACTTTTTTTCTTCACATGCTGATAAATGAGGATTCATGGGTCTGTATCCGTTCAGTGCTTTTGATATTTTGGCAAAAAAAAAAAAATGCGGGGAGAAGATGAATGAGCCTCAAAGCTGATGTCCCCCGGGGCTGGGATACACACCTGGTTCTGGTGTGACATTTGGGCTTCCTGATGAATCTGAAGAGAAGTGTAGGAGGCTTTGGGGGTGCGGGACTTGGTGGGACCCGATGGGAATGGACTTAGTAAGAAATCCCTCCGACTTGGTTGGTTTTCAAGGCCCAGAAAGTTTTCTCTTACTTCCTTTGTTTTGGATGAAGTCCGCGAGCGAAACTCAGTGTTAGAAAGCTGTTGACAGCAGGCCCTGTAGCTGAAATTCTGGTTTGATATTTGCTTTCCCAAACCAAACAGTGCTTTTGCCGACTTGATTTTCCAGTGCCCACATGCCACCGAAGTGGAAAATAACCTGGTGTAAAAATTTAACAACAGCAACAAAAAAATAGGAGCCTCAAACCTTTGGTCACTTAGTGCTGCCTTGAATGCATGTTTCGTTCGTGTTGGTTCTCAGCTTTTTTTTTTTCCCTTTCTTTTTCTTTGCCTTCATTGCATTTTTATAAACCTTTTGCACAGTTTTAAGTGGGGACCCCACAGGGTAAGTGCTAAACACTTCAGTGGACTAAAAAAAAAAAAGTCAAATCTTGACTTTCTTCATTTGGGGAGTTACTTGTTGGCGGGATAGCTTACTGCAGGTTAGTCGAGATACGGCCTTTGCAATCGGGGAAACTGAATATAAGAGAAAATAGACTCGTGCTGTGTGTTAAACTGAGAAACCGGAGCTGAACCAGATAGCCACTGACATTTGGGCTCTCTGGGCCAAAGGCCGCTCTGCTACTTTTTTTTTTTTTCTTGGCCACTTCCAGAGGTGCCCAGGGGTTATTCCTGGCTCTGCATTCAGGAATTAACTCCTGGCAGTGCTCCAAGGAACAAATGGAATGCGGGGGATTGGACCCGGGTTGGCCGTGTTGGGTTGGCCGTGTTGTACAAGGCCGGCAAACGCCTTCCCCCCCCCCGCCCCCCCCTTACTATCGCTCCCACTGTTTTGCAACTTTTCTTTTACTTTTCATGATCCGTTTAACCCATCTGTATCTTCAGGCCCTCATAAAGGGACGACAATGAGTATCCCAGCAGGAGCAGCCCTGCTTTAATTCCACGTCTGGGTGTGTTGAAAGAGGTGTGGGCGCCTGTCAGGACCCCAGGAACTAACTTCCTAGGGCCACTTGGGTAGTCTCAGGGTCGCCTCCTTCGCAGGCTTGTGAATTAGAACCTTGTGAATTAGAACCCAGCCTTGCTTGCTTGCCGGGCCAGCCCAGGTGAAGACCCCCATCCCCCACCGCCTAAGTGAAAGGAGGCGGTGGGGAGGGGCTGGTGTGTGTGGGGGGGAACCAGCCACCAGACCTCTGTTTAGCTGATCCTGACATTGGAGTTGCAGATGCAAACGGCTTTGCAGGGGAAGGTCCCAGGGGTGCAAAGCGCAGTGGGTACCTGCTGTGTGTGTGTGTGTGTGTGTGTGTGTGTGTGTGTGTGTGTGTGTGTGTGTGTGACCCCTCGGAGGTGCTCTGGTCACCTTGATAGCCAGTGCTGTCTGTCCGCCCACGGGAGCACCTTTGAGATATTCTGGCACTTTACCCCCGGAGGGGGTGGGAGATGCCGTCAGGAGCTTGGAGGGCAGCCAGAGCAGCCGTCGAGGTAGTTGCGAGGCAGAGAGATCGTGGCTGCTGGCGGAAGGGGGAGATTCTTGAGCTGCCTCTCGAAGCGAGTGTCCCCTGTAACCCCCTCTGCTGCTTGCTGCCTTCCAGGTGTTGAGTCGGAGTCCTGGGGACCCTGGACGGCTATCATGGAGACGGAGAGCGAGCAGACCTCCAGCTCCGCCAACGGGAGTTCCGGCTCGGGGGCCAACTCTCGGCCCCAGATAGCGCAGATGTCGCTGTATGAACGGCAGGCCGTGCAGGTGAGCTGCGGTCCCCAGGAGGCTGCGATGCCCTCGATGCCCCTCATGTAACTGCAACGGGGGGGTGGGGGGCGACTTGGGTTGTGACTGGGGGCCCTTCTTCTGCTCTGAGAATCTTTGTTTATTTTATTTTATTTTTTTGCTTTTTTGGGTCACACCCTGCGATGCTCAGGGGTTACTTCTGGTTTTGCACTCAGGAATTACTCCTGGTGGTGCTTGGGGGACCATATGGGATGCCGGGAATTGAACCCAGGTCGGACGCGTGCAAGGCAAACGCCTGACCAGCTGTACTATCGCTCCGGCCCCCTACTCTGAGAATCTTTGGATTTTTTTTTTTGACTTTTTCGTCACACCAGGTGATGATGCACAGGGGTTCCTCCTGGCTCTGCACTCAGGAATGACTCCTGGTGGTGTTTGGGGAACCCTATGGGATGCTGGGAGTCGAACCCGGGTCGGCCTCGTGCAAGGCAAACGCCCTACTTGCTGTACTATTGCTCCAGCCCCCTGCTCTGAGAATCTTTGGAGTTGATAGTAGTTAGATCTGAGAGTGAGACTCATCTTCCAACTGAGATATTGTTTTCTATTTTTGGTGGGACAGTGGGGAGGAGGGGCAGTGGCGGGAGAGGGTCTCCCAAGGGCTGCTCAGAGGGCCTGGGGGCCATCGTTGGGTTTGGTACCACTCCACAGGGACCCAGGACCCGGGACCCTCGCATGATCCAATCCTTGCCCTTTCACCTCGGCCTGACCTTTTTTTCCTGTTTTTGATTGAGTTTGGATTTTGGATTTTCGGGGACACACTTGGCTGTGCTTACAGCAAACCCCTGGAACTGTGCCCAGGGGATCGTATGTGGGGCTGGGATTGTCCCAGGCATGGCTGAGGTAAGGGAGTTCCTTCTCAGCTTGCTATACCGGCGTGCCAGCCCTCCCTGGCCTGTGTTTTGTTTTGTTTTTGATTGTTTTGCAGTGGTGGTTATTCAGTTTCTGAAACTGGGTTCTCACTAACCATTTCTCTACATGGATTGTCAGGTTTTTCATTTTTGATCTTCCTTGTAAATTGCTTTGTGTTAAGGAAGTGTGAAATCAAGTTTTTATTTCTTAAAATTAAAAAAAATTTTTTTGCTTTTTTTTGGGTGGGGGGCGGTGTCACACCCAGCAATGCTCAGAGGCTACTCCTGGCTCTGCACTCAGGAATTACTCCTGGCAGTCCTTGAAGGACCCTCTGGGATGCCGGGGATTGAACGCGGGTCGGCCGCGTGCAAGGCAAACACACTCCCTGCTGTGCTGTCACTCTGGCCCTGGAATCGTTAAAGGTTTTGTTTTGTTTTGATTTCTATTTCACAGGGACCATACCCCACAAGGTTGCCAAGGGGGGGGGTCTTGAAGGGTCACGCCCGGTCAGTGGAGAGAGCCCGAAGGCTTGCAGGGACCCGACTGATGGTGCACACCCTCGTCAGTGGTCCCGGGGATGGTGAGGAAGGTGGGGGGGGGTGCATTGCCCAGAATCCAGCTTGGGCCTTCCCTGTGCCTGGAGTCTGCCCAACCTCTGAGCCAGCTCTGCACCCCAGGTGTTTTTTTTTTTTTTTGCTTTTTGGGTCACACCCGGCAATGCACAGGGGTTATTCCTGGCTCTGCACTCAGGAATTACTCCTGGCGGTGCTCAGGGGACCATATGGGATGCTGGGAATTGAACTCAGGTCGGCTGCGTGCAAGGCAAATGCCCTACCTACTGTGCTATTGCTCCAGCCCCAGGTTTTTCTTAATATTTTGTCCCTGCCTTTCCTTCTTCTGTGTTGTGATTGTGTCTCTCTCTCATACACATACCCTGCTGTGGTGCTCGCATGGTTGTGTCCTTGTGTGCTTGGCCCTGCTGCTCGCAGAGGTCCGCCCACACACGCGTGCACTCCCGCGCTTGCTGCAGGTAGTGCTCGTCTTTAAAATGTTTTTTAGTTTGGGGCAATAGTACAGTGGGTAGGGCGTTTGCTGGGCGTGCAGCTGATCTGACTTGGGTCCCCAACATCCCACATGGTCCCCAAGCACCGCCAGGGGTGATTATTCCTGAGTGCAGAGTCAGGTGACCCATAATGAGAACCCAGCGCGTGGCAGGGATGGTCCCAGAACAACAGTGAAATAAAAGAACATTTGTTGGGAGTTCTCTTTGGTTTGTTTTGGTGCCACCTCAGTCTTGCCTCCTGGTGGTGTTGGGGAGACCTTATGGATGCCTGAGTATGAGCCCAGGTTGGCCATGTGCAAGGCAAGTGCCCTGTGCACTGTCTTGTCCTTCGGGCCCCTGGGCTGCACTCTTTCGTGGAGGAACACAGAAGTATCAATCATGGTGTGTGTGTGTGTGTGTGTGTGCGTGTGCGTGCGTGCGTGCGTGTGTTCCTGGGTGTTCTGATCATGGTGTATGTGTGTATTTCTGGGTGTTCTGATCATGGGGTGTGTGTGTGTGTGTGTGTGTGTATGTCTGGGAGTTCTGATCATGGTGTGTATGTGTGTCTGGGTGTTCTGATCATGGTGTGTATGTTTGTGTGTGTGTCTGGGTGTTCTGATCATGTTGCGTTTGTATATGTACATCTGGGTGTTCTGATCATGGTGTGTGTGTGTGTGTGTGTGTGTGTGTGTGTGTGTCTGAGTGTTCTGATCATGGGGGATGTGTGTGTGTGTCTTGGTGTTCTGATCATGGTGTGTGTGTGTGTGTGTGTGTGTCTGTCTGTCTGGGTGCGTGTGTCTGGATGCCCACACGCATACTCCCCAGGCGCATCCCTCCTGGCTGTGATGCTGGCACTTCTCCTTAGCTGTGGTTGCCCCTTGTTTGTGGTGCCACAGATACAGGGCCGGGCTGCTAGGTGGTGCTCAGTCCATGGGGGACTCTGGGCTTGACATTGGGCCTCACGGTTGCAAGGCTGCTCCGAGGCCCCGGGCTGCTCCTCTGGGGCAGCACGTTTCGTTTTAATTTTTATTTATTGAGTTTTGTGTTTGGACCACATTGGTTGTACTCAGGACCCACTCCCAGCTCAGCGCTCTGGGACCACTCCTGGCGGGGCTCAGGGGTACCATATGGTGTATCAGGGATCAAAACCCAGGTCGACATGCATAAGGCAAGTGCCCTCCCAATTGTATTACCTTTCTGGCCCTAGTTTTATTTTGTTTGTTTATTTATTTATTTGTTTTTTGGGTCACACCCAGCCAATGCTCAGGGGTCCCTCCTGGCTCTGCACTCAGGAATCACTCCTGGCCGTTCTTGGGGGACCATATGGGATGCTGGGAATCGAACCCGGGTCGGCTGCGTGCAAGGCAATCACCCTACCCTCTGTGCTATTGCTCCAGCCCCTATTTTCTTTATTTAAAATTTTTTGGGGGAGGGCCATACTTCTCGGTGCTCAGGTGTTACTCCTGGCTCTGTGCTCAGGAATTATCCCTGGACTGCTCGGGGGTCTGTATGGGATGCCAGGGATCGAACCCGGGTCAGCTGTCTACAAGGAAAATGCCCTTCCTGCCGTACTATTGCTCCAGTTCCCTGTAGTTTATATATATCTATATATTTATATCTCTCTATATACACACATATATGTACATGCATATATATTTTTTAAATTTAAATTTTTTTTTTTTTTTTTGCCGAAGGCCACACCTAGCAATGCTCAGGGATTACTCCTGGCTCTGTGCTCAGGAATCACTCCTGGTGGGTTTGGAGGACCATATGGGGTGCTTAGGGATCAAATCTGGGTCTGCTGCATGCACGGCAAATGCCTTAGCTGCTGTACTATCTGCCCAGCCTTAGTTTTATCTTTAAACAAAGAATAAGTTCTTTGTTTCAAGTAATCTGATTGTGGGGCCGGAGCAGTAATGTAGCCAGTAGGGTGCTTGTTTTGGGGGCGGCAGACACATGTTCGATCCCGGCATCCCATATGGTTCCTTGAGCACTGCCTGAAGTCTTTCCTGAGTGCCGAGCGAGGAGGAACTCCTGAGCATCGCCAGATGTGACCCCAAACAAACAAACAAAAAAAACGAACAAATCAGCATGGTGGGGCCAACAGGCAGGTTGAACACGGGCCTCACGGGTAGGAGACCCCAGCTCTATCCCTGGCACCATAACAGCCCCTGGGCACTGCTAGGAGTGACCGTGGAGCACAAAACACAACCAACCACACAGCTTGGGATCGGGACTTTCTGCTTCGATTATTTATTAGAATAACTGTTAGCACATCATACAAGTATTCTAAAGCCAGAAAGATAGGCCAGGGATTGAGGTGCTTGCCTTATGGGGGCCTGACACTGGTTTGATTCCCCAGCCCTGATATGGTCCCCCTGAGCGCTGCCAGAAATAGCCTCTGAAGGCTGATAGGTGTCACCCTCTTCCCCGCCCCCCCAATCTTTTAATCATGAAATAATAAAGATAGTGACTGGAGCAATTTATACAGCTGTATTTGCCTTGCATGGAGTGGCCTGGGTTCTTTCCTCTCCATCCCATATGTTTCTCTGAGCACTTCCAGGAGAGATTCCTTGAGTGCAGAGCCAGGAGTAACCCCTCAGCACGGCCAGGTGTGGTGCCCCCCCACCTTAAAAAAAAAAAAAACAACCCTCAGAAAACCTGAATTACCATTATCCGTGTCAACATCTATGACTCTTATACTGTAGGTATTTGAAGATAAATTCAGCTGAAAATTTTATTAGACTCCTGAATCAATTTATTTCTCATCATTTTAAACTCTGGAGGGCTTACTCTTTTCTTTCTCTTCTACATCAACATTTTTGTTTTGTCTTGTTTTTGGTTCCCACCCTTGCGCTCCATGTTTTTTCCTGGCTGTGCACTCAGGGGTCACTCGGGGTGATGCTTGGGGGACCCTGCGTGTTGCCAGGGATCAGGGTTGGCCTGGGGCAAGGCAGGTGCTTCGACCCTGTACACTCTCTGGTCCTGAGGAGACACCTTCTGTTGCCGTTGTTGTTTTTGGGTCACACCCAGTGATGCTCAGGGGTTACTCCCAGCTCAGTGCTCTGATGGTGCCTGGGGGCCGTATGAGATGCCAGGAATGGAAACTGGGCCAGCAGCACGTGAGGCCAGCGCCTTCCCTGCTGTCCTGTCGTTTCGGGGCCCCCTCCAGTTCTTTCCTTTTTCTTGTGCCTGTGTGTATTTCTGGGTCCCCTTTTGGGAGCCAAGGGTTTCTTTGAGTTACCTGGTGTTACCCGCTTTTGATGAGCAAGACTCAAAACGAGAACATCGGTCAGTGAGGACTGTCTGAAGTCCCCCGTGCTCAGATAAAAATGGACAGAAGAGCCGGAGTTCGGACTGTCCGAACTCCCACGTGCTCGTGTGAAAACGGACCGGAGGGTGGTGGCTAGGTGAGCCGAAGCCCCTCTCTCTTGCTCGGGTCGCCTTGGCGTTCTGCAGGGGGTCCGCGGTCAGAGCGCTGCCGTCTCCGCGGGCTGACCCCTGAGCTCTCTCTCTCTCTCCCTCTCTCCTAGGCCCTGCAGGCTCTGCAGCGTCAGCCCAACGCGGCTCAGTATTTCCACCAGTTCATGCTCCAGCAGCAGCTCAGCAATGCCCAGCTGCATAGCCTGGCCGCCGTCCAGCAGGTGAGAGGTCAGCAGGCAGCTGGCCCAGGAGGGGAGGGGTCGTGCAGGAGAATTTGGGCGGGGGGGTGGGGGTGGGGTGGGGGTGTTCCTGCTCTAGATTCTCCCCTGAGTCGGGCCTGGAGGCATCTGCTCTCCCTCCCTCCCCCCCTCCCTCCTGTGTCCTGTGAGGGTGATGGGGTCTGGCTCAGGGCTGCAGGAAGTGCGGGGGTGGCCAGGCAGGGCTGGGGTGTGGAGGGCACGTGTCTGGGAAGGGCCTGCATCCCCCAGCGAGGGAGTCCTGGCCATTGGCCGCTCTTGGGTGGGGGGCAAGAAGGGGGTGCCGGTCCGCGTGGCAGAGGCAGCGGTGCTGCAGAGCCTCTCTGTGGTATGTCAGATGTGGGCAGGCAGGGGAGTGTCTGTCGAGGCCGCCCAGTCTGTACTGTGCCCTGTTGAAATAGGCTAGTGAGTTTATTTTTTTAATTTTTATTTATTTTTTGCTTTTTGGGTCACACCCGGTGATGCTCAGGGGTTGCTCCTGGTGGTTAAGTGAATTTTTATTTATTTATTTTTTGCTTTTTGGGTCACACCCGGTGATGCTCAGGGGTTACTCCTGGCTCTGCGGTGCTCAGAGGACCATTTGGGATGCCGGGTTGACCGTGTGCAAGGCAAACGCCCTACCCGCTGTGCTATCGCTCCAGCCCCCTTGATTTTATTTTTTAATTTTTATTTATTTATTTTTTGCTTTTTGGGTCACACCCGGAATTACTCCTGGAGGTGCTTGGGGGACCCTATGGGATGCTGGGAATCGAACCCTGGTTGGCCGCATGCAAGGCAAATGCCCTACTCAATGTGCTATAGCTCCAGCCCCCGAGCTATTGACTTTAACCCTCCAGGTAACGGCTCTGGCTTTTCCCCACCACTTTTATTTTTGCCTTTGGGTCACACCCTGGCTCATGCACTCAGGAATGACTCCTGGTGGTGCTCGGGGGACCCTATGAGGATGCTGGGAATCGAACCCCGGGTGGGCCGCGCGTAAGGTGAACGTCCTACCCGCTGTGCCATCTTTCCAGCCCCTTCTTCCCACCTTTTTACAAGTGGGCATGCTAGAGAGTTCTCCTTGGCGGCCATCGTATTTGTATTGGACAGTGTTGGCGAGTCTACTCAGGGCCTCATGTGACCCGATCAAAGGTGGTTGGCGGCGGCCAAGTTGCCCGGGATGGCTCCGAGCGAGTCCCTGAGCTCACATGGGTGGCCCTGTGCTGGGAGCAGGGAGCAGACCCTCCCCCTGTCGCTCGGAAGGGTTGGCGGCGCTGAGCTGAAGTCTCTGTGTGGGGCCTGTTGTTGGCCCCCTGGGAGACTCAGCCTTTCCTCTGTCGTCTCTGCTCCCGTCCCGTCCCCCTCAACAGGCCACCATCGCGGCCAGTCGGCAGGCCAGCTCCCCCAACGCCGGCAGCACGCAGCAGCAGACGGCCACCACCCAGGCATCGGTGAGTGCGCAGAGGCCCTCCGCGTCGGCCGGGCGCTCACTTCGAGCCCCCGAGGAAAAGGGGGAGACCCCCGATGAGATCAAGGGCCTTGATGGAAGTCTCTGGAAGGAGGGCGAGGGCCCGGAGAGGCTGGGCAGGGGTGGAGGGCTGGCGAGGGGCCCCAGGCCATCCCCATCAGTGCTCGAATAGCACCAGGCATGCCCGGTTGAGGCTGTGTCCCTCCCCTGCTCAGAAAAAAAGAAGGAAAGGAATCATGAGGGTGGGATAACAGAGGAAAGGAACCTTCTGGATCCTTCCATGACAAAGTGAAATGTGTTCCTTGGCTTCTTGGGCTCTTATGCTGTGGTTAGGGACAACTTCCTCCTCCTCCCCCTCCCCTTCCCCCCTTCTCACCTCTCCTCCACTCACCTCGGGGCTCTCCCTCTTCCCTCGCCTGCTCTCTCCTTCCTCCTCCGGGACCTCACACGTGGGAGGCAGCTGCTCAGCCCCTCAGCCGTGTTCTGGCCTGCACCTGGTTTCCTTGCCCTGGGTCAGACCCCAGAGTCGCCAGGACAGGGCAGCTACGGCCTGGACCAGAGGGCGCCAGGCTTAAGGCTTTTTTTGCCTTGCACGTGGCTGACCTGCCCTGCCCTGCCTGCTGTGTGGTCCCCTGTGGCCTGCTAGTGGGCCTCTAAGCCCAGAATTGGAAGTGCTCCCCGAGCAGCACTGGATATGGCCCCAGCCCCCTCTCCACCCCCCATCATCCTCCCTTCCCACGGCCCCACAGATCCCCATGTTCTCAGTTTTGCCCTTCGGAATTCCCGCTTCGTGCCTTGCCTTTGCTCCCACCCCCGGGGAATCCTCATCTTCATCCTCATCCTCATCCTCATCCTCATCCTGATCCCGTTTCCCCCCCGCCTCCCGCGCAGATCAACCTGGCGACCACCTCGGCCGCGCAGCTCATCAGCCGCTCCCAGAGCGTGAGCTCCCCGACGGCCACCACGCTCACCCAGTCCGTGCTGCTGGGCAACCCCACCTCCCCGCCGCTCAACCAGTCGCAGGCCCAGATGTACCTCCGGGTAAGCCTTCAACCAGGGCCAGCAGCGTCCGGGGGGTGGGGGGGCGGGGGTTGGGGGTGCCCCAGCCGCGCGTGAGGGGGTCGGCGGGGACCAGGGCGCAGGTAGAGGGGCGGGTCTCCTCCTCCCCTCGCAGTGGTGCGCACGCGCGCGCAGGGGGCAGGGGGACGGGCCGGTCTCCTCCCGCCGCCGCCCTTTGCAGCGTTGCGCACGCGCGTGCGCAGGGTCCCGCTGAGCGCGCCGGGGAGTCGGACTCGGGGAGTCGCTCGGTCGCACGTGGGCTGACCCTGAACCCTGTGCTTGGAGTAGACAAACGCGCCCAGGTGCTGCCTAGCCCGCCGCCTCGCCGTCCGTTCTTGCTCCGAACGCCTCGCGGTCTCCTTCCGGGCCGGTTTTTGACTCTGCGTCATCCATCAGCCCCCCCCCCCCGAGTTTTGTGTCCCCGTTTTAGGTCACCTTGCGCGCTCGTGCGCGCGCGCACGCGCCTCCGGAGAGGGCGCGCCTCCCGGGTCGGAAAAAAGGGGCCACGTGGCCGTCGGGGCGCTTCTGTTTATTTTGTCTTGTGATCCTTCCCTTCCGCCTCTTCTGTCTGTCCTTCTCCCTCCGCCTCCCGTCCTCGCCAGCCACAGCTGGGAAACCTGTTGCAGGTCAACCGGACCCTGGGCCGGAATGTGCCTCTGGCCTCCCAGCTCATCCTGATGCCTAACGGGGCGGTGGCTGCAGTCCAGCAGGAGGTGCCATCGGCTCCGTCGCCGGGAGCGCATGCCGATGCCGATCAGGTCAGTGGCCGCCACTGGACCTGGGGGGGCCCTCCCACCCCAGCCCACCACTTTTCCAGGATTCGGTTTTTTTTTTTCTTTTTTTTTTTCCTTTTTCTTTTTTTTTCTTGTTTTTGTTTTTTTTTGTGTTTTTGGTTTTTTCCCCCCCTTTTCTCCGTTTCTGCATAACTGGAATCTCTTACCACTTTTGAGTGGATTTGGGTCAGGAAGGAAACGGTGGAGGTGGCAGAGGGCGGGCTGGAGCAGAGAGACGGGAGGGAGGCACCTCGGGGCCTGGGGGCGCCCTCTCCTTCCCCAGGGGGCCGAGGTCCTGCTTTCCCAGCCGTTCTTCCATCCCGGCGGGGGCTTGTTTGTTCAGGAGACGTTCGTTCTCGCTTCCAACCGTCATCGTCTCCCAAGGAGGAGCGGGTGGCAGGGGGCTTTGTGGCTGGCGTAGTGCTTGGGCCCGGCTCTTCTCCAGTCCCTGTTGCTCTCGGATGCCAGGGGCCTGTTGGCAGCAAAGTGTCCTTCCCATCGTTTCTCGGGGCCCTCGCCTCAGAGCCTGTTCCCCGCGCGTGAGAGATCCCATGGGGAGTTTTCTCTTTGGCGGCTAGTACGCCAAGTTGGATCTTAATTAGTTGGAGTTACCGGTTTGCAAGTCAGTCTTCCTGTTCTCTCTCTTGGTGAGCTCAGATCAACTCTAAGCCCTTTGTGGGTAGCACTGTAGGTAGCTTAGTCCTCCCTTTGATCATCGATTTTGGTCCAGCGGGCCCAGTAACGTCTCCATTGTGAGACGTGTTGTTACTGTGTTTGGCATATCGACTACGTCATGGGGAGCTTGCCAGGCTTTGCCGTGCGGGCGAGATATTCTCGGTAGCTTGCCGGGCTCTCCGAGAGGGACGGAGGAATCGAACCCGGGACCGACCGCGTGCAAGGCAAACGCCCTACTGCTGTGCTATCACTCTTCGAGGACAAGAGAGTGGAAATCGGGACTCTGACGTTTGGGTCAGTGCCCGACTGCACTGAGTCTTAAGAGTGTGAGCAGAAGCTGGCGCAACAGCATGGCGGGGAGGGCACTTGCCTTGCACACGCCAGCCCAGGTTGCACCCCGGGCAGCCTACAGTGTCCCCCGAGCACTGCCAGGAATGGTCCCTGAGCACCGCTGGGTGTGGCCTCCCCCCCACCAAAAGGAAAAAAAAAGCACAAAAACCCAAGAGGCACAAGCAGTCACATTTCTCTCTCAGACACTCCTCCGGGTGGCCAGGAAAGTCCCATCGTGAGACTGATGGGGGAGGCTCCCACAGCTGGTCAGAGGGGGGAGTCAGGCGTCCGCTCCATAGAGGGAAGCCGAGTGCCCTCCCCACAGTGAGGGAGCAAACGTCGCCGTGCAACGGGGCTGGTGGGCATGGAGAGCCGGGACCCCCACCAAAGAGGGCTGGGGTGCACGGGTGTGCGCAGGACCCCGGTTCTGCTCCCTGGCCCGGCCTCCAGTGCCACTTGGTGTAGCTGAGGTGGCCCCAGCAGAAACAGCACCCCGAGGTGGGGCACAATGCGGGAATGGAGTGCAGGAAGAACGAGGTGACAGCAGGAGGACCCATAGCCTGCGTGGGCACGGGGCTGTGCTTGCGGGACAGAAAGAAAACTGGGTGGGGGTGGGGTTCGGGGCCACACCTGGCGGTGCTCCGCGCATACTCCTGGCTTCGTGCTCAGGGGTCACCCCGGCGGGTGCTCAGAGGACGTGTTGCCTCAGAGACCCAACACGGACCAGTCGTGTGCAAGGAAGGCAAAAGAGAAGGAAAAGAACCGTGAGGGGGAGAGAAAAGAGGAAGGGAACTTTCTGGATCTTTCCATGAGACGTGAAATGTGTTCCTTGGCCTTCCTCGGCTCTTAAGCGTGTGGTTAGGGACACCTTCTTTACCCACTGTATGGTCTCTCGGGCGCTCACAGTTCTCCACTTCCTACTGAGGGCCTGTGATGCACAATGCTTCCCCGTGATGGTTTGCGCCTCCCACTCTGGCCACACCCACCCCACGGCTCCTGCAGAGGCCCAGAGACCCACTCCGGCCAGTTCCCTCGGGGTCACTTGTTTCCAAAAACTCCGATGTTCTCATTCTGTTCTCTCTGGCCATTTGTTGCTCGCTTACTTGTTTTATTTTCCAGAAATTCTGAGGTTCTTTTTTTTTTTTTTAATCCTGGTAGTGTTGGAGGACCATATGGGATGCTGGGAATCGAACCTGGATCAGCCGCATGCAAGGCAAACGTCCTGCCCTCTGTGCTATCACTCCAGCCCTGAGATTCTGATTTTTATTGCTTTTTCTCTTCCTCCTCCCTTTTTTTTTTAAATTCTTTTTTTTTCTTTTTTTGCTTTTTGGGTTACACCCATTGATGCACAGGGATTCCTCCTGGCTCTGCATTCAGGAATTACTCCTGGCAGTGCTTGGGGGACCCTGTGGGATGCCGGGGATGAAACCCGGGTTGGCTGTGTGCAGGATAAACACCTCTGTACTATTGCTCCAGCCCCTTCCATTTTTTTTTCTTTTAAAATCGGAAAATCATCTCAAATGTTTAATTTCCAAGTGTTTGAATGTCTCCTGTCTGCCGATTTCTGTTTGTGAATAATTTCCGTTTTCCCCGAATGCTGGTGTGAGAGTTGGCGACGGGGTTCCTGTGCTCTGGGTCTCCTGGAGACGGGTTTGGGGGACCCGGCCTATGGTTTGTGTGTCATGGGGTGTGCCCGGCGCCCCAGGGACCGTGTCCTCCTGGACTCTGGGGACAAGGGGCCCTCTGTCTGTCTGCACACCCATCTCCTGGCGTGGGGCTTTCTCCCTAGGGGCTGCGCTTGGCGTGAAGGTGTGGCTGGTTGGTGGTGGGCCCCGGGGCTCACACACGCGGGGTGACTCCTGTCACTCCCGGACTGTCCAGGTGAGCCCCAGGGGAAGAGAGCACCCTGACAGCCAAGGCAGGCGGGGCTGTCCGGATTCAGACAGGAGCAGGTGTGAGGGCAGATCTGGTCCTCAGGAGTGTGGGCGGGGCGGGGTCTGGTCGTGTAGCTATGAGATGGGGGACGTGGGTGTGTGGGGGGGTAGGGGGCGCTGGCGGTCAGGTAGCTGCCGGGTAGCTTGGCTGTTTTGTACCCAGGGTGACCGTCCTGAGCTGAGTGGGGTTGGAGATGTAGGGCTGGTCATTGGATTTGGGGGGGGGGGCTTGCCCGTGGAAGGAACAGCCTTTAAAGATGATGCCCCTAACCATCCACTCACGAGGCTAAGTTCTGTCCATGCAGTCTGCGATGGAGTTGAGGATGACGGGCTGGCCAAGACAGGGAGGGAAAAGGGACCGGTGTGTGACACTCTTGTCACAGTGACCATCTGGCGAGGACCCGAGCAGAGCGGCACCCAGGGTGGCTGGAGGCAGCCGAGGGCGGGATGGGGTTGGAGAGGCTCTTCAGGGGCCGTGGGGTCGGAGCCAAAGCGGCGGGATTCGGAGGGAGGCCGTGCTGTGAGCTGGACCCAGTGGGCCCATGAGGTCAGCAGTCGGGAGTGACCGGGGAGGGGGGGTTGGGGGGGGGGGTTGGGCGGTGCAAGTAGTTTCAGGTCTAAGGAAAAAAAGAAGGTTTTTGTTTTTCAGTAGGACTTGGGAAACAGCATGTGATACAGGGTGAGGATCCGGGATGTGGCACTGTGGGCTAAGTGCCCAGCCCTGAGGCCTGCGGCTTGTCCATCTCTGCCGCTGCCCCTTCTCTCTGCTTGGACTCTGCACTGCCTGTGCGAGTGTCCAGCGGGCGCCTGGACCTCAGCCTGATCCACTTCTAGGTTTCTGCATTGCGGTTGGAAGACGCTTTCCCACTCATTATTACCTGCTGCTAATGCTATTTTAATATTTTTAATTTTGGGGGTTTTGAGCCACACCTGGCGATGCTCAGGGGGTCGCTCCTGGCTCGGCACTCGGGAGTCACTGCTGGCGGCGCTCGGGACCCTCTGGGATGCCGGAGATGGAGCCCAGGTTGGCCGCGTGCAAGGCAAACGCCCTCCCCTCTGGACTATTGCTCCAGCCTCCGCAACTGCTAGTTCTGCTTGATGCACAAAGTCTGGCGTACAGAAATCTCAATGGCGTAAAGAGCCCTCCTGCTGGACTCTCATGTCCTGCCATCATTGCATTACTGGGTCACTTGTCTGTACCTGCTCTGTCATTTGTGATCCTGTCATTAACAGTTCCTGGTTCCATCCCCTGCCGGTCCCCACAGTCACATGAGGCCATGGGAACATGGTGTCGGGCACTGTGATTTCCAGACCTGTCCTTCCCTTGACTGCCTGGTTTTTGGAGACGGGGAAGCCTCTCTGTGTACATGCCCGAATCCCTATACTGTCTCAGTGGCCGTCCTTGGGGTCTCTCTTTATGTAGTTTCATTGCATGTATGTAGCTTTTGAAGACGTGCTTTTTATCAGGGAATCTTCTCAAACCTTTCCAAAAACGGGGGATGGAAAAAGGAACCCCTCAGCCCTCCAGCTTGGGTTCTGTGGAGATGGGGGAGCAAGTTCGGTCTCTTGAGGCATCTTTCCTGGCCTTGTGGCTTTTTCAGTAGCAAATTGCAGCCCCTCTGTCATTGTGTCTGCTGTTTCCAGCTTTATGGTTAAGTCTATGAGGTCTGCCTGCTAAGGACATTTTTAGGAATGCTTTCTAGGAAGCAGCTTATTCCTTTGTTTGTGGAGTAATTTGCTACATTGTTGCGTGCTTCATTTGCCTACTTCATTTTTGTTTTGTTTTTTTTGTGTGTTTTGGGCCATGTGGGGCAATGCTCCAGGCTGACTCCTGGCTCTGCACTCAGGGATCGATCACACCTGGCGGTACCCGGGAACGGGGCACCAGGCTGGTGGCGTGCAAGGGCAGCGCCCTCCCCGCCGTGCTGTCTCTCCCACCCCGCCCTTCTGCTTTCCTGACCTGGACCTTCCTGTCCTGCCGTGTTGTGTGAGTGCCTTCTCGTCTGATAACGGCCATCGGGGCTGTTCCCAGACTTTGCTTGCTGTGCTTCTAGATGCTTCCTCTTGCACACAGCACGTGTCTTCTGTGGGATTTCTAGGTTAGCGTTTGTGTCACGGTTCAGCTTCAGCAAATGATGCCCAGCTGTTAGCCACAGTGCTTGGACGGACGCCTTACTTCTGCTAGCGATGCTTGTTTATCGGCATTCTGACCACTCCCCAGCTATCCTCCACGGCTACTCCTGGCCCTGTGCTCCGGGAAACATGCAGCGCTGGGGCTTGAACCCGGGACTCACGCATGCAAAGACTGCGTGGAGCCTGTCGCGCCCCCCACCCCCACCCCCCCATGCTCCCTGCAGCCTGTAAAGGAACGGCTTCAGAGAGAAGGTATTTATTCCATTGAACCCGACTGAAGCTCACTGTTCCCGTCCTCTGCAGGGTGCTAGGAACTTACAAGCCAGCCAGCCGGACATGTTTCTGTTGGACTGTGAGTCCAGACCCTCCTCAGACCTGTCAGGCCCTTCCAAGCCCTCTGGTCCTTCCTGGCCGCCACCTCGCGTCCTCAGTGTCCCCACGTGCCCCACCTCCCAGACTTCTGGGCCTGTGGTCGGTCCCCTGCCACGGTGGCCGGTGACTCTGACCTCTGCTCCTCGCAAGTGCTCCTGAGGAATGAGTCTGTGTCTCCCATCCAAGTACGGACCGGACCCGACCCTGCTTAGCTTCCGTGCTCCGATGGACGGGCCGCGGGCAGGGTGACGTGGTGGCGGGCAGGGTCGGTGTCTCTGGCTCCTGCCTCCCCAGTGCCCAGCACCGTGCCCAAGGCGGAGTCGGCGTCTGGTGGGTGGCGAGTGAATGGAGAGGAGAGTAGGACAGCCGGCAGGAAACGGGGTTGGCAGTGAGTGAAGGGGATGCTCGCGGGGTCCCTCCCTGGTGGCCCAAGGCCTTTCTCAGGTGCTGCTCGTGGGAGCCGAGGAAAGGCGGGCCGAGACCTCCGACCCCCGGGGGGCTGCATCTGCCTGTATCCCAGAGAACTTCGACCCTGGGGTCTGCTGCCCTCCTGCCCTCAGTGTCTCCGTCTTTTCTTCTCTTCCAGGTGCAGAACTTGGCGGTCCGGAACCAGCAGGCCTCAGCCCCGGGCCCCCAGATGCCGGGCTCTGCGCAGAAGGCCATCGCGCCCGGGGCCACCCCGGTCTCCAGCCTCTCGCAGGCCTCCAGCCAGGCCCTGGCGGTGGCTCAGGCATCCCCCGGCGCCTCTGGCCAGTCCCTCAACCTCAGCCAGGCCGGTGGCGGCAGCGGGAATAGCCTCCCCGGGCCCCTGGGTCCCGGCGGTGGTGGCCAGGCCCCCGGGGGCTTGGGTCAGCTGTCCTCCCCCGGGATGGGCGGCGGTGGCAGCTGCCCCCGGAAAGGCACGGGGGTCGTGCAGCCCCTCCCCTCGGCGCAGGCGGTGACCGTGAGCCAGGGCAGCCAGACGGAAGCCGAGAGCGCCGCGGCCAAGAAGGCTGACGCCGATGGCCCGGCGCAGCAGAACGTGGGCATGAACCTGACGCGGACCGCCACGCCCGCCCCCAGCCAGACCCTCATCAGCTCAGGTGAGCCGCCCACCCCGAGACAGCCTCCCGGCGTGCCTGCTCTAAGTCGGGGTCTCTGGGGGGTTCCCAGCTGCAGGCTGGGCGGGCGCCCGCCCTCCAATCTCCAGGAGCTTATTCGTAGGCTTGGCGGTCCGACCCCTCTTCCCCGCATCTCTCCATTCTGAGTGGTGGGAGATCTCCTCTGCCACCGCCGTCAGACCAGTCCAGGGCCAGGAGAACCGAGATGGGCCCAGCTGCTGGGCCAGGCGTTCGCTGGCATGCAGATGGACTTTTCCTTCCCGGAAGCGATCGTCTTCCTCAAGGCTCTTGTTGCTTGCTCTTGGTGCCCAGTGCCTGGCCGGCTGCACCGGCTGCGTTGGGGAGAGAGGGTGCCTGGGGGTGGAGTCTCTCGTGTCTCTGCCCCCGGGCAGGCCAGGCTTGCAGGGGGCCACTTATGGGGTCCCTCCCCGGCAGCCCGAGGCCTTTCTCGGGCGCTGCTTGTGGGAGCCAAGCTGAGGCGGGCCAAGACCTCCGACCCCGGGGGGGGGGGGGGGGCTGCGTCTACAGGCGTCTACACGGCTTTCCAGGATGAGGAGAGGGCAGAAGCAGGAATCCTGACCCCCTTCCCCTCCCCCAACCCCCCAAAAGGGTCCACACTGGCTCTCAGACTGGCATGGTTGGTCACCGCCTATTTCTGCCTTGTTTCTAGCACTTGATTTAGGTTTTGGACTTTTGAGCCACACCTGGCGGGGGTCACTCCTGCCAGGGCTGGAGCTGGTACCAGGACGTCTTGCATACAAAGCACAGAGGCCAGTGCCCAGCCTTTCCGACTGTCCCTCTGGCTCTTGTGTATTTGCTTGTATCCCGCCCCCCTCCCCCTTGGTAAATCCGGGCAGGGCCTGGCTGCAGGGCAGCTCAGCTTGCTTGCTTGCAGCTTGCACGGTGCCCTCCCTCCCCCACCAACCAGGGCTCTGCCCCCCCCACCCCCCCCACCCCAGCCAGTATTTGGATACTTTACTGCCAAGAGCCTGTTCGTTTGTAGCAAGTTAGTGAAAGGCTGTTACTAATGCGTTATGTGTAGCATTTCCATGTCACACGTCTGGGGTGGGCTCGCTTGTGTTGTTGGCACCAGCAGGTTGCGTGAGTTTAGAAGTGTAGAAATTGTTGACAGAGAAGGAAACCGAAGTCGAGCCTCTAGCTGACGCCTCCTGGTGCGGCTTGAAAAAAAGCTGCGGTGGCAGGCCGGGGAGATGCTCAGTCCGCAGTGGGAGGGCCGGGAGTGACATCAGGCCCCATGGATTTCTGGGTCTGACCCCCAAAGCGGGCAGTAAAACCAGCAGCCAAGAGTTGTCTGTGGACAGATGCCCGTCTGCTGCTGCTTCTGTCACTATTGGGAAGCGTTTCCAGGTGCCAGGCAGTGGGCCAGGGGCTGGGGTGTAGGAATGGCCGGGACATGGACTCTGCCCAGGAGCAGGGACAGCAGAGCCTGATCATGGAGAAAGTGGCGACTCCCCGATTCCATCGGGCTGAGCATCAAATCATAGTATATATATATATATATATATTTTTTGGCTTTTTGAGTCACACCTGGCAATGCACAGGGGTTCCTTCTGGCTCTGCACTCAGGAATTACTCCTGCTGGTGCTCGGGGTACCATATGGGATGCTGGGAATCGAACCCGGGTCAGCCACATGCAAGGCAAACGCCCTCCCCGCTGTGCTATCGCTCCAGCCCCAATGTTTTGTTAGTTTTGGGGGTCAAACCCAGAAATGCTCAGGGTGTCCTCCTGGCTCTGGGACTCTCCTTGCGGGCTCGGGGGCCCACATGGGGTACCGGGGATCGAACCTGGATTGGCCGCGTGCAAGGCAAGTGCTGCCTTCACCCTCACCATCGCTCCAGCCGCCGCCCCCAGTGGCAGGAATGCGGGAGCAGAGAGAATTGCGTGAACTCCGCTCAGGGGCTGGTGCAGGGTCGGGTGCGCGGGCTCCCCCCAGGGTACGGGGGGTGGGGGGGGCAGGGCGCGCTGACCCGCCCCTGGGCGCCGCCTCTCGTCCCCGCAGCCACCTACACGCAGATCCAGCCGCACTCCCTCATCCAGCAGCAGCAGCAGATCCACCTGCAGCAGAAGCAGGTGGTGATCCAGCAGCAGATCGCCATCCACCACCAGCAGCAGTTCCAGCACCGCCAGTCGCAACTGTTGCACACGGCCACGCACCTGCAGCTGGCGCCGCCGCAGCAGCCGCAGCCGCCGCCGCCCGCGCCCGCACCCGCGCCCGCGCTCCCCGCGCCGCCGCCACCGCCGCCGCCGCCCGCCGTCCCGCCGGGCGCGCAACTGCCGCCCTCGCCCTCCCAGCCGCCGGCGCAGACGCTGGTGGTGCAGCCCATGCTGCAGTCGTCGCCCCTGTCGCTGCCGCCCGACCCCGCCGCCGCCAAGGCCCCGCTCCCCATCCAGTCCAAGCCGCCCCTCGCGCCCCTGAAGCCCTCCCAGCTGGGCGCCGCCAAACTGGCCACCACCGCGCCGCCGCCGCCGCCGCCGCCCCACATCCCCGTGCAGGTGGTGGGCACGCGGCAGCCCGGGGCCGCGCAGGCGCAGGCGCTGGGCCTGGCCCAGCTCACCGCTGCCGTCCCCGCATCCCGGGGCATGCCCGGCCCGGGCCCGCCCGCCCCCGCCCACCTGGCCGCCTCGCCGCCCGTGTCCCAGGCGCCCGGGGCGCTGCAGGAGTGTCCCCCGTCCCTGGCCGCGGGCCTGGGCCTGGGCCCCGTGCAGGGCGCCGCGCACGTGGTCAAGAGCGGGGCGCCCGCCGCAGCCGCCTCGCCGCTGGTGGCCCAGGTGCCCGCCGCCTTCTACATGCAGTCCATGCACCTGCCGGTGAGTTGGCCTCGCGGGTGACCGGGGTGGGGGGACGGGCCTGCCTGGGAGCCCGAGGGGTGTGATCTTGGGTTTGTCAGTTTACACCCGAAAGCGCAGGCTTTGGGATGGATTCCTGCTTAGGTCCCGGGACCCTGCCCGTCCCCACTCTCCCGTATCCATCCCGGGAGGGAGAAGCATCAGTTCTGGGGATCCAGGTGCAGCGGGCCCAGTGGTGCCCCTGCCTTCCTCTGTGTCCCTGGGCATACCCCAGAGCTTGGGGAAACTTGGACTCGTGTGTACCGGGGGGCAGCTGTATGTAGGGCGGCTGCCCCCCGGGGCAGGCCCACACCCGAGGCCGTTGTCTCGGTTCTCGGGTGCCTTGACCTGCCACCAATGTGTTCCCCTACTCCTGGTGCCCCGCTCCCCGTCCCCAGGGCAAACCCCAGACGCTGGCCGTGAAGCGCAAGGCCGAGTCGGAGGAGGACAGAGACGACGGCCCCGCCTTGGGGTCCCTGCTTCCTGCCAAGGCGTCCCCAGTAGCAGAGAGCCCAAAGATCCTGGAGGAGAGGGGTGGCTTCGGAGGTGAGTTGTTCCCCCTGCCTGGGCCCCGCGGGGGAAGGGGGATGAGCCGCACGCTACTCCAGGGTCAGCCTGGTCTGGAGGGACGAACGGACGGCCACGGGGCCAGGGACCCAGGAACCCAGGGAGAACGGCCAAGGCACTCCTTCTCGGGAGAGAACAGGATGCCAGCGAGCTGCCGGCTTCTTCACAGAGAAAGCTGACCCCGGCGCCGGTGTGAACGCCAAGCCCCCCGGCGGGGACCTCGCCGCCGTGGCCCCCGCTCCCTCAGCTCCGCCTCCCACCCTCGCCATGGTGTCCAGGCAGATGGGCGACTCCAAACCCCCCCAGGCCATCGTGAAGCCCCAGATCCTCACGCACATCATCGAGGGCTTTGTCATCCAGGAGGGCGCCGAGCCTTTCCCGGTGAGTCAGACCGTCAACCCCCCCCCCCCCGCCCCCCCTCCCCGAGAAACGCCAAGACTGGCACTGCTTAATGTTTACCCATCGATGAGAAGGGAGGAAGGGGAGAGGGGGGCCGAACCGACTTAGGGCCAGACGGTGAAAATGCGGGGCTGGTTGTGAGGAAGAGGGAGAAAGGGGCCCTCCAGGCGGGAGTGATGGGGTGAGCCAGGTGAGATTCACTGCTGTGGGGAAGGGCGGGCAGAGAGGCGCCAGCACTTCCTCTGGGTACCACAGCCCCCAGGTGGTGCGCATACCTGGGATTAGGACGCAGGTGTTCCGGCTTCCGCCTGGAGCCTTCTCTGCTAACTAGGAAGGAACCGGCAGGACCCCGGGCCCCCAAAGGTTCCTGGAGGCAACTCCAAGCCCGGCGGGGGGAGGGGGAGGACGGAAGGGGCTCGGCTTGCCTGACACCCCCCCCCCCCCCCCGTATCGGGGACAGGTGGGCTGCTCTCAGATCCTGAAAGAGTCCGAGAAGCCGCTTGCCACGGGCCTCCCCGCGGGCCTGAAGGAGAAGCAGCCGGCCGGGCCCTTGGGCGGAAGTAGCCCGTCAGCTGGTGAGTCTGGCCCGAGAGACCCCAGGGGAGTGGGAGGGTGGGCGCAGCGGGGGGTCTCTGCTTGCCTCTCTTCCCCCAGACAACATCCAAGCGGGGATTCTAGAAAGCCCACCTGTATTTATTTGATAGACCAGAATTACAGAATCACGCGAGAAGAGCCGCTGGGTGTGAGAAACCCATTTATTAACATGCCAGGGTCGGTCGCAGGTAACTGCCTCCTGCCTAGACGCGTTTTATCAGACCCAAGGAGACTGTTGAATCGCTTGCTCTGAGGGTCTATAAAGCTGACCTAGAATGGACCGGTATTTCTTTCAGTTCTTATTCAGGAGGCAGCCGTCCGTATTAAGGGCTATTTTTTTACAGTTTCCCTTCCGCTTTTGGGAATCTCTGTGGCCGGGGATCATCTGTCTTCCTAGACTCGGCTCATTAGTTCCTTTTTCCTGTTCAGAAATGCCGCCTGACTGGGAATCTGAGAGGACCGATTAGGGTAAAATTCGTCATCTGAGACGGAAGTGGTCCGGCTCAGAGTTTGGGAGACTAGGGACCGGGAGAGTCTCAGTTACAGTGGACCGACACCCCTGGCACTGTATAGGCTCCCCCAATCATGGCCAAGAGGGACCCCCACCCCCAGGGGACTGCTGGGTGTGACCCAACCCCCACCCCCACCCCCACGGAAATATGTAGAAAGTAAAAGTTAGGAGATACCATCGAGGGACCAGTCTTTATGGCTCAGGGTTGAACTTGGTCGCTGGCTTTCCGGAGAGGCGAGTCTCTTTCGCTGTGGGTGGGTGGGCAGCCGGGCGCTGGGGAGAACAGAGACCCCGACCGTCCTGTGAAACGCCCTTTGCAGAGCCAGACAAGAAGGCCAACCTCCTCAAGTGCGAGTACTGCGGCAAGTATGCGCCCGCTGAGCAGTTCCGCGGCTCCAAGCGCTTCTGCTCCATGACCTGCGCCAAGAGGTGGGACCTGGGCCCTGGCCTGGCGCCGCGCCCCCATCCCAAGCCCAGCGCCCCCCACGGAGTGTCCCCCCACCCACCCCCCACTCCGGACTGGGGCGCAGGTACCCAGCACGGTACCGTTTCCACCCGCAGGTATAATGTGAGCTGCAGCCACCAGTTCCGACTGAAGAGGAAAAAAATGAAAGAGTTTCAGGAAGCCAATTATGCGCGCGTGCGCCGGCGCGGACCCCGCCGCAGCTCCTCGGACATCGCCCGTGCCAAGATCCAGGGCAAGCGACACCGGGTGAGGGTCCGCCGCGGGGCCGGCTGCCCCGGTTCCTGGTCTGTTTGGTGGGTTTGGGGTCACGCCCGGTGATGGCTCCTCCCGGCTCTGTGCTCAGGGATCCATCCTGGCAGGGGGTTCGGGTAGGACGACCAGGAGGGGATAGAGTCTGGCTTGACCCCCTGCAGGGCAAACGCCCCCCCCCCCCCCCCCCACACCTGCTGTGCCAGCACCCTGGCCCCTGCCTGGGTTGATGAACTTCTTTGTCCTTGGGTTTGACCGCTACCCCCCCCCCACCCCTAGCTCCTCTCAGCTCAGTGCTCAGGGGTCACTGCAGTGCAGAATGTGGGGCTCCCGGCTCGGAGGTTTCTCCCCACCCCACCCCTAGAGCCAGCTGCTGCCCGTAAGCCAGGCGGAGAGTAAGGCCAGCCGGAGAGTGGGGTCAAGTCTCGTCTCCTCTCCCCTGCCCCTACTGGCCACGGTCCATCAGGCCGCCCACTGGACGGCGGAAGACGGCCACCCCCGCCGGCTGGTGGTCGCAGTGGCCACCCCCGCCGCTGGTCGTCGTTCAGCATCTGGGAAGCCCTTGCGAGTTGACAAGTGACTTGGGGCCCTTGACACTTGCGGGGCAGATCCTTCCGCTGTGCCAGGGCCCGTTTTTTTTTCCCCCTCCTCTCCCGGGAGGACCCGGATGAGGGCGAGGGAGAGCGAGGTGGAGTTGGCAGGGGTTGGGGGAGGCGCCTTGACCTCGCGCTTCTGCGTGCTCCCCTCCCGTAGACGCAGGAAGACTCCAGCCGGGGCTCGGACAACTCCAGCTACGACGAAGCCCTCTCCCCCACGTCGCCGGGGCCCCTGTCCGTGCGGGCCGGGCATGGGGAGCGGGAGCTGGGCAACCCCGCCACGGCGCCCCCCACGCCGGAGCTGCACGGCATCAACCCCGTGTTCCTGTCCAGCAACCCCAGCCGCTGGAGCGTCGAGGAGGTGTACGAGTTCATCGCCTCTCTGCAAGGTGACCGGGGCGGAGGGGTCACACCCGCACGGCCTGGCTGGGCTTCAGGGCGCCACCCCCTAGGGCCGGGGGTGGGCGGGGGCCCGTGCTCGGGGGTGCCTTTCGGCCTGTGCACAGAGGACTGCGTGCCGCTGGGCCTCGAACCCATCCTCCTGCCCAGCGCTGTCCACCCCCCCCCCCACCCCACCTCGCAGGTTCTCCTCTTGCTGAGGATGTGCGTGACTCACTTGTGGCCCCGTCACCCAACCCAGCTGTTGGGTTTCCATCGGACACAGTTGTGTCTCTTGCGCTGCCTGCACCCCCCCCCCAAGCCCCCCTCCCCTGCGTTGCTGCAGCGTTGGCTTGTGTGTGGTGCGCCAGAGACCACACTCGGGGTTCCCCCCATCCCCGACTGCGCTGCTGGAGGAGCAGCGTGGGGTGATGGCGGGGACCGATGTCATTTTGTATGTGGGCAATGGCATGAAGATCAGGTGCAGCGGGGGAGGCGCCCTCCCTGGGTGTGCAGTAAAAAGGTCACCGGAAGTGAAAAGGTCACCGGGAGTGGCCTGGGGTTTGTGTGTGGTTGTGGCAGACGTGTGTTGGGGAGGTGAAGGAATTGTGGCCGAGGTCGCCCCACACTCTCCGAAGTAGGAGTCTTTCTTCTTGTTTTTGTTTTTGGGGCCACGCCAGTGGTGCTCAGGGCTGACTCGCTCCTGTCAGTGCTCAGGAGTGCCGGAGAATTGAACTTGGGTCATCCATGCGTGGATGACAAGTGCTTTTCCTGCTGTGCTAACTTTCTGGCCTTAAAGCTGGGAGTTTAAAATTTTTTTTTTGAGGGGGGGGTGTCAGGGGTGGGAGGCAGAGCTGGCTCTGTGCTTCCTTCTGGCTCTGTGCTCTGCAGTTGCTCCTGGGGGTGCTCAAGGAACCACATGGGGTGCCAGGGTTGAACCTGGATTGGCTGCGTGGGCGCCAGCAGCAGCCTTACTCTAAATTCTTGGCTTTTTTTTTTTTCTTTCCCTAACCCTTTTTTCTTTTGCTTTTTGGGTCACACCCAGCGACGCACAGGGGTTCCTCCCGGCTTTGCACTCAGGAATTACTCCTGGCGGTGCTCAGGGGACCCTATGGGATGCTGGGAATCGAACCCGGGTCGGCCACATGCAAGGCAAACGTCCTACCCGCTGTGCTATTGCTCCAGCCCCCCTAAACTTTTTCTTAAAAATGGACAGAAAAGGCAATCACTTTACCCTCGCTCTCTGAACTCTGGGTCCTCTCGCAAAGAATGTCGGCAAGGTCCCCCCTCCCCCCCATGTAGAAAACATGTTGCTATAGTTGGCACTTGCCCTTCTTCTCATTCGAATGTTTTTTTTTTCCCCTATGGTTGAGTAACTTGATTTTTTTTCAACATTTACTTTCGACTTTTTTTTTTTTTAAACCAACCAGTTGCTATGACTTTATTTTGTTCATCTTATTCTTTGTTTGTTTTGTTTGGGCAGCCTCCCAAAATGCTGGGGTCAAGAGTGCCAGGAACCAAACCCAGGTCTCCGGCATGGGACGCAGGAGTCTCAGCCCAACTGAGCGTTTTTGCTTCTAAAGGTCTCCAGCGCTGACCGTTGCCTTCCCCAGAAGGATTGATTGGCGCTTAGGGAGTGACCCTTGCTAGGGCTGTTTAGTTGGCGGGGGGTGGGGGAGGGGAGGCCATGCCTGGCAGTGCCTGGCACTTCCGGATTGGCCTGTGCTAGGTTATTGGGCCACACTTGGTGGTACTCGGGGCTGACTCCTGGATCTACGCTCAGGGTTCGCTCCTGGCGCGGTGGGCCATGTGGGGGTGCCAGGGCTTGAACCTGGGGAGTTCACATGCAAGGCCAATGCCGTACCCACTGTGCTCTGGCCCGTTCTAGGGCTTCATGTCTCCCATTAGTCCCCCTCACCCGCCTCCCCGTTGCCTCCTAGGGTGCCAAGAGATCGCAGAGGAGTTCCGCTCCCAGGAGATTGACGGACAGGCCCTGCTGCTCCTGAAGGAAGAGCATCTCATGAGTGCCATGAACATCAAGCTGGGCCCCGCCCTCAAGATCTGCGCCAAGATCAACGTCCTCAAGGAGACCTAAGGAGGTGCTCTGGGCCGGCCCCCCCCGCCGCCCGGGCTAGCTCCGGGTCTCGGCGGACTTCCCCGGGAGGAGCCGTCCCCGGGACGCCCCGTCTTCCGGCGAGCGGGTTCCCGAGACGGGGGAAGATGACCAAGTCCAAGAGTTGGACGCTGGTGCTCCACCGTGGCAGCTGTGACCTTTTTTCTCTGGGTTCTAACTCTTGTTTTCTAAAACCTTGGCAACTCTCGCCGTCCTCAAGACCCGGCCAGTCTCGACCACCCAGGCAGTCCTGGAGACCGCGGACTGCTCAGCCTTATCCTGGCGCCAGAGTCAGGCCCCGGTGCTCGGCCTCCGAGGGGGCACGGAGGCCTCCCAGCTCGCGTGACGCGGAAGCGGAACCTGGCGCGAGCCCCCAAACGCGCCCCCCATCCCCCACCCCCCACCCGGACTGTCTGGCTGTCGCTGTGGCCCGTTTCCCTGTCGTCACTCCGTAGGAACCAGGTCTGTTCCCAGGGCCAGGCCGCCAGGATCGTCCCACTCCTGCAGGGACTGTTTGCACCACGAGGTCCTCATCGTCCTTCCTGCGTCCCTTGCCCTCCTCACTCCATCTGTCGGTTCCTCCCTGCCTTTGTTTCCCTCCAGCTCTGCGCGTCCTATAGCTTTATAAACAGGAGTGCCTGGGGCTGCCGTCGGAGTCAGACCCGCCGCAGGCACCAGTCCTTATACTACACAAATATTAAATATTTTTTTCCTCCTCAGTTAAAAGGAAGAAAATGGGTCTCGGTTGTATCACTGCATTCCAGGATCTCACACGAAGGACTAGGCTGACACTTTTTTTTTTAAGGTCTTTTATGTGTTTTTGTACAAAAAGTATAGGGTTTTCTCCCCCCCTAATCTTTAAAACATCAGTGTGGGAAAGGGATGCAGACAAATAACAAAGATGCTTTTAAGAACATTTTCCCTGTTTAGAAAGGAAAAAAAAAAGTGTCCTGATAAGTATTTAAAAGTCCAAAGATGAAGAAACTTCATTTTCTTTTCTAAAGGCTTACAAAAGGCCCCAGCTGCTGGCTCTGACCCTTGTGGTCAGTGGAGCCAGGCTCTTCCCCACTGGCCTGCGGCTTCATAATTTCACAAGGGTCGCAGCATAGGAAGGTGGAAAAAAGCATGAAAACCTCTGGGGCAGGAGGGCCAGACCCATTCCCCAAGCCAGAGCCCAGCGGGCCCGCCTCTGTCTCCAGAAAAGTCCCAAGGACATGCTAATGAAGGAGCAAGCCATGTTTAGAAATACTGGCAGAGGGAAGCTTACTGGAAAGAAGGAAGTGTGGCCAGCTCTAATGCAGGTGAGAAAGAGAGTGCAAGGGGATCCACTGCTAGATAAAGGGGTTCCCCTCCCTGTCCCAGAGCCCTCAGCACAGGAAGGAGCCCCCTCCTGTGGTCTGACCGGCTGTGCCACGTCTAGACCAACAGCCAAAGTTCCAAGCGCAGGGCGAAGCGGTCCAATACCAGCGGGTTGTGAGGGTCCCTTAGTTAATGGTACCTGGATCTGTGACTAGGAAACATTCACATCCCTCCCTCCAGCTTCTCGCGGTGGGAGAAGTTAAGCCCCCCCGCCGGCTCAGCAAATGCCGGTGTGTGGCTTACACCAAGCGGTCACTTTTCTAAGCGGCAGGAAGTGGCATCCGTGTTCTCACGGAGACCCACAGCAGGGCACTGACCAAACAGCAGGAAATCGATCAAGCCTCTGATAAAGTTTCGTGGCCTTTTTTGGGGGGGTGGAAAAAAAAGGAGGGGGGGGGGCTGGGGAACCTGCCAGGTACCCTTTGTGTTCACCGAAACTATCCTGTACCTTCTGCTGCCGAGAAGACCCTGGTGGCCCTTGTCCGGCCGCTCCCTGTCACTAGCCCTGCGGCACGAGGGGCAGGCCGGGCGCTGGAGAGAAAGCGTTTCGAGGGTGGGAAGAGGAGGCGGGCCGGAAGCAGGCTGGCAAAGCAAGCGCAGCGATCAGGCGAGGCGAGCGGGAGCAGAGGCCGCTCCCGGGGTGGGCACGGTGGCGGGCGGGACCCTTCACATGGGCAGCAGGTGGTCATCGCGCTCCTCGGTCTCCTCCCCCAGCTGGTCGTCCCCCACGCCCCTGTAGGCGGCAGGCGCGCCGCGGGGCTTGGAGCGGCACACGAAGTCGCAGCCGTCCTGTGGGAAGGAAGGCAAGGCCCGCTGGAACAGAAGCTGCAGCCCCAGCCTCCACCTGCAGCTTAAGAATGGGGGCAACGAGACTGGAGCCACAGCACAGCCGAGAGCCATTTGCCTTGCAGGCAGCCGACCCGGGTTCGATTCCCAGCATCCCTCAGGGTCCCACTGAGCACCGCCAGGAGTCATTCCTGAGTGTATGAGCTAGGAGGAACCCCTGTGCATCGCCGGGTATGGCCCAAAAAGAAACAAAACAAAAAGAATGGGGGCAAGATTTGGTGGTCCCCCCCCCCCCCCCGCCCCGTGTAGAGCCTTCAAGAACTATCTAAGCCTTTCAGCACAGGGTTCCTCTCTGGCTGAGATTAAACCAGGCCAGACACTGACTTGACACTACTTGGAACTCTGGACCAACACTTCCGGCCAGCTGGAGGGTGGCTACAACTTTCATGGCTTTAAGGCCTTGGGCTGAGGGGCCGTGGGACAGGTCCCTGCCACTTACCGCTACCAGGTTGCCGAGATCCTGCCAGAAGGCCAAGTGGGGGAACTGCTCCATGCCCTTGGCTCCCACCACCAGGCGCTGGTACAGGAAGCCCCCGATGATGTAGACAGCAACCAGGCACGCAAACCTGCCGGGAAGAGAGCAAGACTGGCAAAACCAGGAGAACCACCCCCGCCCCCAGGTGAGAGCAGGGGATTGGCCCAGCTCCAGCCCCAAGGCCCCTACTCCTGCCCTCACCTCCCCCCATACTCAAAAAGCAGCAGACTCAGGAAAAACACAGTCACAGAGGTGACTCACGGCCAAGAGTGACCGTTGGCTACAGGATTCTGTTTCCCCATAGTTTAATAATACCGCCGGATCTTAAAAATGTTCAGCCCACCTGGCTGGAGCGATAGTACAGTGGGGGAGGGCGTTGGCCTTGCACACGGCCGACCCGGGTTCGATTCCCAGCATCCCATAGGGTGCCCTGAGCACCGCCAGGAGTAATTCCTGAGTGCAGAGCCAGGAGTAAAGTCTGGGCATTCATGGGTGTGACCCTCCCCAACCCCCACCCCAGTACGAAGGATTAGGGGAAGAGTCTCGGAATGCAAATATTTACTGGCGACAAAAACAGTCTAATCTGAGGCTGGAGGGATAGCACAGCGGGTAGGGTGTTTGCCTTGCACGCAGCCGACCTGGGTTCGATTCCCAGCATCCCATGAGGTCCCCCGAGGACCGCCAGGAGTAATTCCTGAATGCATGAGCCAGGAGTAACCCGAGCATTGCTAGGTATGACCCAAAAAAACAAACAAAAAAAAGTCTAATCTATTTTTTATTTGGGGGCAGGGAAGTGGGGCTTGGGCCATGCCTGGCTGCACTCAGAAATCACCCCCAGCTCTACAAGTGGCGGGCTGGGGGACTAGAGGGGCGGGGAGGGGACACACACCATACGGGGAGCTGGGGATCAAACCTGGGTGGGCTGCATGCAGGACGAGCAGCCGGGCTGCCGTCCTCTCTCCAGCCCTACCTCCCCAATGCCTATGTTTCGGACACGCGGCCCGACCTGGGCAGGCGGGGACGGAGCGCGGCCACTTACGTGATGAGCAGGATGGCGCCCACGCTGAGGTGAGAGGTCTCGGGGGCGCAGGCCAGGCTGCTGTCCATCTCGAAGAGGTAGAAGCAATCCTGTACTTTGCCTCGCTCCTCGAACACGGGATTGAAGTTGGCCTGGTGCCGAGAGAGCGGGCCACGCGCTGAGGAAGCTTCATCACCCCTTGGCCCCAAGAACGGGACTTCCAAGTCCCCATAACCCCAAACCATGCAGGACGGCAAGCCGGATGGGGTCTGCGACCCGGGGAGGAGCGGGAACCTCCAGCTTCCCCTCAACCGCCCTCCCCAGCCCCCCAGAGCGGGCCGGGGCCCTCCCCTCACCCCGAGCGTGTGACGATTGCAGGAGATCATGACCACGGCCCGCCGCTGCTCCTTCCCGCAGTGGTTGTCGTATTCGTGGCCGCCTTTGTAGATCAGCATGATCCAGTTGCCTGCGGAGGGAGGAGGGAGGTGGCTGAGTTGCTGAGGGCTGGGGGCCCGCGGGGAGAGAGGCCCCAAGCTCACGCCCAAGCCTGGGGAGAGAGCGAGGTTAACTGCTGGGCCTGCTTGCCGGCGGCTCGAGAGAGGAGAGGAAGAGCCGGAGCTTGGGAAAGGAGCGAGCGCATTCCCCATCCGGAGGGCAGGCAGCCGGGAGCGCCGAAACCACGGCGGGCCATTCCTGAACAAGGGTGCGCATTTTCGGAACACCTGCGAACATCAAAAGCAGAGGGTCCGTGTAATTACCGGCTAGCAGGGGAAAGCCTGCTATTTCCAATGAACCGTTTTTTTGATTTTTTGCTTTTTGGGTCACACCTGGCGATGCTCAGGGGTTCCTCCTGGCTCTGTACTCAGGAATTACTCCTGGTGGTGGCCGGGGGACTCTATGAGATGCCGGGGATCGAACCTGAGTCAGCCACGTGCAAGGCAAACGCCCTCCCCATATCCCTCCAGCCCCGAGCCGCAGATTTTTAAGACTGGAAGACGTTTTTTCTTTGGCTTTTTGGGTCACACCCAGCGATGCTCAAGGGTTACTCCTGGCTCATGCACTCAGGAATTACTCCTGGCGGTGCTCGGGGGACCCTATGGGATGCTGGGAATCGAACCCAGGTCGGCCGCATACAAGGCAAACACCCTGCCTGGCTTACTATCGCTGCAGCCCCTGGAAGTCATTTCTTCTTGTTTGCTGGCTTCCAATTTCTTAAAGTATTATTTGATTCAGCAACCAAGAGAGATCAATATAGACTGCTTCCAATTTTCTTTTTTTTTTTGGGGGGGGGGGAGGTGGGTGAGGCATATGGGAAAACAAAGTAGAAATGTGGAAATGA